TTATCAGATATTTATGATAAACAAACACCTGGTATAATTAAATTTATCAGATATTTATGATAAACAAACACCTGGTATGATTAAATTTATCAGATATTTATGATGAACAAACACCTGGTATAATTAAATTTAGCAGATATTTATGATAAACACCTGAGGCAGACTCACAGAGAGTGATTTTAGGGGGAAAATTAAAGTCAAACAAAGACACTGTGTTATAATCTGAGACATATAAAACCCTTGGCTGCAGCTCCTCGATCCAGCTGTCAATCAGACAGCACGACCCGCCTTGCTCTGATATGATTGGGTAAAACTTTGACTGTTGCGCTCTGTTGGTTGAAAGAACCATCAGTTTAGAATCTGGATGGAGTCTGAAAGGTTTTTTTTTTCTTCTTTTACTTTTACAAATGATGGTCGACCGTCGTGGAGGAGAACTTTTTTCATCTGTTTTTCTTTGTTGTCCACCGGACAACCAGTAGGTGGGATCTGATTGTCCGAAACAAAAATAGGTTGGACAACCTAAATAACTTGTCAACCCCTAACATATCTCTTTAGCAAAACAGACCTGGGCCTGAAGGCAACCTAAAGCCATGTCAGACCATAAGGTTTTAGAGACTTGTGCCAACTCTTTTCCAAACCTCAAAACCTAAAACGTGAACAAGTTTACAGAACAAAACATCTTTTTCTACGAGACCTCGATTTAAAACTCAAAGGGGCGACAGAACCCCTACCAGTCTTTAATCTAGTAGGAGTTCTTCCTATAACCAATGAGTTTCCAGTTCAAACTAGGGCAGGGCGATATGGGAAAAAAAATTATCACGAATAATTTTTTCATATCGTCCGATCTCGATTAATATCATGATTTTTTTTGTTACCCTAAAAAGTGTCTGAAAAATTATTCAACAAATAAATAGCTACAGAAATTTTAAAAAGAATGGCTGTCATTTCACTTTTACTAATATAACAAATAGCTGTGGTTCAATAGAACATGAAATTATTAAGTTTTAGAATTGAACTTCACATGAAATATGCCATAAAGAAACATAAACCCAAACAGAAACAATTTGTGCACACTTGCCAACTGGATAGGATCGAAGCTCATTACTTTTGTTCAGGAGTTTGCAGCGTCTCTCAGCTGCTGTTTGTGATGAGACTCAGACAGGAAGTGGTCTTCACGTCGCGTCCAGCCCATCGTGTGCYGATAAAACTTACAGAAAGTTCTTCTCCAGATAAATGAAGAACCGCTGGGACATTGGGCCTCATGCAAGAACATGTTCGTATTCTTCTCCTAAATTTCTCTTACTTTT